GTGTGCTCCTAGAAGTCTTTATGTTTCAAAGTGTTTTTAAGGCAGACTCTGTATTTTTTGAAAGCAGTGCAATTCTCTATTGTTAAGCAAAGTATTTAGAGGAATGTAGAAATATTTATGTTCAGTTATATATCTCAATCCATAAAGTTCATAGGAAGTCACTTAATGATTGACATTTGTAGAATGCTTTCCAGTTTAAGAACCAATCTCATGAATGGTTGTTTCATTTGGTCCTCTCATTTTCTGAGATAGGCAATAATACAAAGATCTCACGTTAGTGTTTTACAGTGCAAGGCACTTTGTGTGTATTCATAATCTCATTTGATGTTCAAGTTCTCATTCATTTCCATGAAATTCCCACTTCAGTAAACCTGCAGCTCTCTGGAGGTGACACGGAAGCTCACAGATTCACATTTGCTAGGGTGTAACCCGACACGACCTGCAGGCTCTTATGTTTATACTGATGCACATGTCACGTGAACATCATGTATGGGCTCACATTTCATATGCACTAACATGTAATCTGAACATGATGTTGAGACTCACATGTCCATGTCCACACAAGTGTCATGTAGGTATGACCTATAGACTTGCCCATTTATGTTAATTCTGGGGTCATGCAAACTTGATATTTTATTTATACTAACATGTAATCTGAACATGCTATGCAGACTCACGTGTCCAAGTCACGTGAACATGGACCACAGGCTCACATTTAAAGTGTTCCAGCGTGTGATCTGCCCACGATGCACAGGCTGACATGCTTGTGTTCATGTATATGTAGCTCTCCTTGTCTGGAGCCCCCTCCTTGCCTTGTACAACCAGTGAGGTTCCTTTGACCCTTCACTGCCCTGGTCACTTCAGGAGTGGACTTTGTTCCTCTCCTGGAGGACCGTGAGGCCAGGGTGTGTTGGGGATGCATCTAAGGGGAGCATGCTCCTGTTGCCTGTGGAGCAGCTGGGGGTTTGGCCCGTTGTGTTTGAACCCCAGGTGGCACCTCCTGTACCCTACATTGGGGTATCTGAAGCCCCATCTTTTGCTTGTTTTGTCTCATCTCTGAGTGAAACGAACACTTAACTTCCTGACAATGAACAAACAGCCATAAAACCCGGTAACCCGGTCCTCATGAGCCTTCTCCGGCTTGAAGGGAAACCGAGGCTTTGGGTTCTGCTGGGACACTCCTGTGGGTGTTCTCCCATTACAGCACTGCTGGCGCCTCATCTCTTCCACCCATCTCCTCCTCACCAAGCCATCTGTGCTGCTTATCCCCAGGAGGGAAGGAAGCCGACTCGCGTCTGACATTGCTGCATCACCAGGGCTTGCTGACCTCCCCCCAAGCCTGTCTGCCTGTTCTTTGGCCTCCCTCCCTCCCCAGCAGCCCCTAGCAGCTGATATGATGGAGAACTTGCGTTCTGGGTGCTTACAGATATGTGTTCACCAACCTCAATTTTTTTTAAGATGACATCAGTTGTGCCAACG